ATTTTTTTTCTGTGTTTTGATAAGCTTGGGTGGTTTGTGACTCTTGTTTGCAGTCAGTAAAATTCGTTGCTGTCTTAGTGACTGTGCTGGCTAAATGCCTAGGGGAGAATAAATGATCCTCCCAGTGCCTCTTTGAATTAGTCCCAAAGACTTTTACAAAGAGTGACTTCAGAAATAGCCTTCAGTGTTGAGCTCAGTGCATAGCAGAAAAGAGAAAAAAAGGAAAAAAACAAACAGGTGCATTTTGAAATGCTTTTTAAGTATCTCTGATATACTGACGTGATTTCCTCTTGAGAACATCTACTTGTAAGTTCTACACAAAGGCTATGGAAGAGATAAATTAGTTGTGACACTTAAGGAAAATCTCTATAAAATACAGAAACCAGCCTGCAAAGCTTTTGAAAAGCAACTCCACAACCTTATTAGCCAAAAGACTAATAAAAGAAAGGTTAAATTGTAGCTAGTAGATTTAGAAATCAACGGTTATAGCCTCACCTCTGCTTCCAAGAAAATATAGCTGTAAATTTATTTTTCTTTCTTTAAGAAGTATTAGCTTGCTCATCAGGAAAAGCAAGATAATTATGATTCCTTCCAGGTCTTATAAAAACTCCTGTTTTCACACTCAGAAAAGTTCACTGTTTTTTATTCTCTTGTATTCATGTCCTACAAAGAATTAAACAGCCCACTCTAATGCTTTTATAACAGATGAAATCACACAGTAAGATTCACATCAGCTAAGATACCTTTTAATTTTTCATCAATTCCTTATTGCGTGTTCTTAGTATTAGTGATTAAATCCTCATGAATACCTCGCTGATTTATAAGTCTACTTCAAACATTTGCCAAGTCTTAACAGTAGTAGGTTAATGTCTCTATTATTTGAAAGCAGTGAACTTTCCCAGCAGGACGGAAAAAGAATTCTGAGTGTACAGTACTGACATGGTGTGCAACAAGAAAGGTAAGGGTGATTGATGGCAACAATAAACAAGACCCAAAGCTCCATGGAAGGTGACTCACACTTGTAGGTCACAGGTTCAGAACATAAATAGGAAGCAGGCAGAAAGGAGAAGCCCTGACTTCTTTAATGCATACAGCTTTCTTCAAATTTTCTGAGGTCGTACAGTGTCCTTTCCCTCACAATAGCAAATCCTTGCTTGGGATGACTTGATTCCCGCATTCAGAATGGTTTCCTACAGAGGAAGAAATACAAACACACTGATGCCCAGGTGGTCCTATTTGAGCCGTGTTGGGCAGTGGAGAGGGCTGGGGTAGAACAATGAAGACAGAGGTACTGATTGCAGTGGGGCTCTTTGCACCAGTCATGTAATTTCTCATGTAATTTCTACCTAATTCCTTCTTCTATTTTAAGAATGAAGGACTTTCTTATCTACTTCACTTCCTTTTTCAAGGCTCAAGGGAAAAAGTCCCTGTGTGAACACCAAATGAACTACAAAGCACCACATCCTCATTTGCTCACGACGCATATGAACAGCAGTAAACAGAAGCACACCCAAAGGTTCCTTGACCTCTCAGAAAGCTCAGTCATGACTTTTCAGTGTTATTATCTCACCCAAAATGCTTCCAAAATTTTGGAGACACACCCAATTGGCTTCCTCAACTGTCAGCAGGAGTTCTTCCCATCACATTAGTAAATAGGTGTCTCTTCTTCATGGTTGGTTGTGTGGGAGCTACACGCCTTTCTGACCAACCCACCTGGACAGAGCTGAAGGCTACAGAGGAGCTATTGGCTGTATGCACCCAACTGGTCAGTGAAATAAGATGTGAGTTTTCCAGCCAAAGCTTAGCTACTTCTTTTAAAATGCCTATGGTGACTCATTCAGATGAGCTATGCTTAGGCTGTATTATCTGACTGGTATTTACATCCAACTTCATGAACTCTGAAACCTTGTTTTCCTTTGCTATAAAATCAGAGTAACAGTCAGTACCCACAGTGTGTCAAAGACTTGCCGCTCCAAAAGGAGTAAGCAGGTTGGTTCAGCATAAATGTTTCACAGGGTTAAAACACATCCCTTCTACCGTGACTTCCCCTAAGACTTCCTGCTCAGAGCCGCCATCGCTGGTTCACCGCTGTATCTTCAGGACCCGGGAGCTGGCTAGAAATTCAGAAAATATTTGTGCAAAAAACAAGCTTTGAAAGGTTTTACAATAAATAAATATTTCCTGTTAGCTCTAACACCTGTTTGCCACATAGACATGTCCCTGTCATGGTGACTGTGTTAGGCTCATCAGTGTTTGCCATGATCCTTGCTGCAAAGAATTTGCTACAGGTGGGATGCATGCATGCCCTTGATCCTTCCTGTCTCTCCCCCACTGGCTGGAGGCTTTGCAGGTGGATGATGGCCCAGGCCCACAGAACTCACCACAGTGAAGACAGGTTGAGGAGTATGAGTACCGTGAGCAAAACATCCTAATGGGAGACACGAAATAGTGCAGGAAAAAACTTGCTAGCCTCCTTGCTCACCTGTTCTTTGTGCTAGGTTAAATCTGAATCCAGGCAGCCTAAACTGTTAGGAAGTCCTAATCGAGGCTGTAGTTTACCAGCCATGTAGCTCACCAGCCTAAGGAGCAACAACACAATTCTGTGAAAACGGAAATCAAATGAGATTACCCATGAGGAGGCCCCTTGGAGGCTCTTGTCTTTCTTGTGAAACAGAAAAGAGCATCCTGCTAGCAAGAATCGTGGCTATTTCTTTAAGTCGGAGTTTTAGATGCATGCACAAAATAGCCCTTCAGTTCTTTAAAGAAATATAATTTATATGTTAGAAGATAAGCAGCCTGGCTTGTGTATTCCCCATTTTCATGTATATTATCATGCAGAGAATTAACGGTAATGATCAACATGAGTTTGTCTTAATTGACTGAAAAGCAAAGCTCTTAAAGATGGCTAACCCGCCAGCCGGGTACCAATGCCTGAGTTCCAGACTGGTGGAGCTGGAAGGTAGGAAAGAACCCTCTCCTCCCTTGGTTAGGTGCTTCCTGTTCTTCCAAGCCTTCTGTGCTGGCATAGTACAGCCAGAAGACAGAAGTTACATAGTAACTCAATCAGGGAGATATTAATGTAAATAATCATTAAGCTGGCATATGTGAAGAACGATAAGAAAGTGGAAACTGACCTCTAAAGTGCACCACGGGACTGAGAAAGGACCCTCAAAGGGCACACTTGGGGCTGTGGTTTCCATCTCACTGGGAAAAGTGAAGCGTCTTGGAGAACGGCTTGGGCCACACAGCTCACATCTCCAGGGGTGCACAAGGGATGAGTGGGGAGCAGCGGGAAGGCAGCTGCAGGGAGGTCACACACAGACAGGAAGAGGAACATGAGGCGCTTTCTCTTCATTTTATTATGGGGTACAATTTTATTAAAAATAAAGAGTTTTTTTTTAGTTTATCATAATAAAAAGCATGTTGCCATGAATCACCCCAAAGTCCCCCCCACCCCCACTTCAAACACACTCATTCCACTGTCCTGGCCACTTTCTGCAGCAGCTCTGGCGTCCTCTCTCCTGAGGGTCTTTAGTTGCACTGTCTCGGCTGCCTCACCATCCTGAATCCATTCAAAACATCGCCCTTTCATGGTCATTTCTACTTTGAATAGAGCCAGAAGTCACACAGCACCAAATCCAGTGAATAAGGTGGGTGAGGACACAGCATTGTGTTTTTACAAGCTGCCTTTCCATTGGATGGCGCTCAGCATATTTTTTAATCACGCCTCAAAAACACACAAAGGAGGACTCCAGGGCTGCTTCAGAAAATGGGCAGAATGATGAGGTGAGTGCGTTTGGAGTGAGGGGAAGATTTGAAGTGATCTCAAGAAGGATTCACAGCAGTGCCTCTTTAGTCATTTTTTTAAAATTTAAACATTCACCAAATATTTTGATGGTCTCTTAGAAGTTAACACCTATAAAGTGCCTACCACATGTGGGAACTGTTAGACTTTGGACTTGATCCCATGCTCACGGAGGTCACTATATCACCAAAGGGAAAAAAACTTTAAACATACAAAGAATTCAGCACCACCATGGCAACTAAGAGACATACTGGTGTTTGGAAGATGTATTTAATAAAGAGAAACTAAGCAGTCGTGGTAGACAAATAAATATACTTCAAGGAAGTGACATTTAGACTGAGTCTTGATGATTGATGGAAGTTGGTGAAGACATTTTAAAAATTATTTTTGGCTGTTCTATTTCTTTATTCTCATATTTTTCTGATCAGGTACTTTGCACTCTTTAAATTTTATCTGCTTTGGAACAACAAGGTACAATGGTTAACCCTTTCCCTTAAGGCTTGTTTGTGAGGTGCTATCCTTGTGGTGCTGCCCCTTACACAGCACCGTACCCTTTATCTCCTCTCCACTCCTCCTGTTCTGGCAGCGGACTCCACCTTACTGGCCACTAGTGGGCCTATAACTATGAGTGGCCCCATAGCTGTCCTCAACCATCTAATCCAAAAGTGGGCACATCCTCAGGCCAAGTAGCATTCTTCTGATTAGCTGAAGCTGGTTGGTTTCCCCAGAAATAAATCCCTAAGGATATAAACCCAGAGCTCCCTGGGGCTGTAGCTGTATGCTTGTGAGAATAAACAGCTTGCAAGACAGAAGATGCGGCAATGTGCAGAGAAAGAGCGAGGAGATACTAAGATGGAAATAGAAAAAGTAGGAGCAACCCTGAGAACCGGGAGGAGAGGGAAGAAAGTGAGGAAGAACGCAGCACCACAGCCTTGTCTCCACAGGGGCTGCCCAGGGCAGGCCAGCCTGGTCCCCCAGATCGGGTCTTCTGAGTATGTGAATATCCGTCATCAATTCGGCAAAGGCCCTTGTTGACTGTATCAACATTTTCTTATTTCATTTCCTACCAGCTCATAGTAGGAATGGAATAAATACTTGTGAAATGCATGCTTCTAACGGTAGAGATTTTAAAACAGAACACAGGAAATACAGGGCTTTGTCTTCTGTTCTCTAACCTGCTTTATTTGTGCAACAGTGGACGAGCCCTCAACCCAGCACTGTCTGCACAGCATGAGGAAAACTCAACAGGCCCCGGCTCAGAAGCAGCAGGCGCATCAAGCCTGTAGGCTTTAACTCAATTTTCCAGGAGGAGATATATTTGAACCCACGTTTATTTAATAAATGTCCTATCATAATATTTCTTCTGGAAGCCTTCTTCCTGCTTCTGTGTTCTTGCATGGACTGATGTACTAGCAAACTCCCTTTGCCCTTCTCCCTGCTGGATGAATCAGCAACTTTCGGGCCATCATGTGGGGGTCAGAAGAAAGAACAGAAAAAGCCACCGTTTCCCACCCCTCACAGGCAGCGAGCACAGCTTCCCTGCTTGCTGTGATCAAAGGCCATTACAGATGAAAAGCTGCCTATGCAAACATGGAGGAGGAGGAGGACAAACAGCAGCATGTCTCTCATTACATGGTTAGAAACAGGTGCAAGGTGTAAGTGAAACCAATAAAAAGGAGCCTGTTAGCAACAAAATCGCTATGGTCTACTTTTAAATGAGAGAGAAGTCACCTGTCAGCAGTATTTCTTACTAGTGTACGACACAAAGAATCTTATTACAACACAAAACACTATCAAAGACATAGGAAAATAGACCTATTTTCATGGCAATAGACGTTTGCATGTGGAATTACCTAATTTTGTACAAAATGAGCTAGAGAGAAAAAACATGAAATTACTTCTAAGTCCTATTGTCTGCAATGCCACCACTAAACTGACACTATAGACCCTGCATAGGTAGGCGTGCTTTCTATCCATTGCTTGCTTGTATACAACCACCCGTTGTGTTGGGAAAGTCACACTGCCTCAAATCGGGAAGTTCGCCTTGCCCTCGGACAGGTTGATCCTCTTAGTCACACAGCTGCTTCCTCTCTCTACAGGCTGGGTCTTGTCTGTTGCCCCAAAGCTCACCTGCTGGAAGCTTGGTCCCAGGGTGATATCAATGTTAGGGTGGTGACATTCAAGAAATGGGGCCTAGGGAAGGTAACTAGGCCATCGGGGACCCACACGCAGGAACAGATAATGCTTTGCGTGGAGAGTTGACTGGATTTTGCAGAAGTAAGTTCATTTCCCAGGAAGGGGTTGTACAGAGAGTGAGCCTGGCCTTCCAGCCTCAGGCTTCCTGTCTTGCCAGGCATAAGAGGCCCTCACCAGAACAGATCGGATTCAAGCCAAGCACATGAACCTCCAGAACAGGGAGCTAATAGAACTCTTTTCTATATAAATGCCCAGTGTTGGGTGTTCTGTTATAGCAACAGAAAATGGACAAATACATTTTTTATACAATACAGACAGTAAGACTTACCCATTTGACTGATGAAGAAATGAGGGACAACCAGATTAATGACTTGCACAAGGTAATCAAGAGGGCTAGAATCTGGAGCATAGGTCTTTCGTCTATTCTGGGATTGCTTCAAGGATATTTTAAATAACTGCTGTTGTTTTACCTCTGAATATATAAATAACTTAGGAAAACTGTTTCTACATTTTGTTGGAAGTGTTTTTAGAATAATGACATTAATTTTTAACACATGATACAGCCTTATTATAAATAACACAGGCATATGTTAAACTATAATAACAAATTTGGCCCATAGTTCCCACCAATTGAGATGAATATAATAGACATCTTCTGTGCATATGTACAGAAATAGATTAAACAGGAAAACTGTTTTTTGTTCTGTCAGCATGTTAGCCAGAGGCCCAAGACCAACAACAAAATTCTATACTGTTCTAATACAGAACAACATTCTAGATTATTCTAATAATAGAAATGCTTCCTGATGCTTGCTCTGAGGGTTTCTAGCTTCAACCTGTGAATTATTTTTCTAATGTTGTTATTTTCTTAAACTCTGAGAGATCTTTAAAAAGAAACTATTAGTGGTTAGGTGTGGTGGTCTATGCCTATAATCCCAGCATTCTAGAAAACTGAGGCAGGAGGGTCACAAGTTGGAGTCTCCAGCCTGTCCAACTTAGTGATTTAGTGAGATACTGTCTTGAAATTATTTGCAGGGGGGGGTGCTTCTTTGACACAAGGTTTTGCTATGTAGCCCAGGCTGGCCTTGAACACACATCAATCCTCCTGCTTCAGCCTCCCGAGTACTGGGATCACAAGTGTGCACCACCATACCTGGTGGTATTGCAAAAATTTTTTTTAAAATGTTTTAAAGGCTTGAGATACAGTACAGTGTGAAGGCCTGCACTCAACCCCCAGTACTGTGAAACAAACCAAATAGAAAACATTCATTTTACATTGATTTTTCTCATGTACCAATTTCATATTTGGTTCTTTCATTCCAGAATTGTTTTCCTATTAATCCATGAAGATCTCTTCTGCTTGGCTGAAATATCTAGTTCAGAAACATTAAGTTTAGCCATGCTTTATAGTTTTATCATTTTCCCTTTTTTACCTATAATAATCTCCAAAACTGTTTCACACCCTGCACCTCCCACTCTTTTGTGTCTGTGGAATCGCCTGATTCCTTTCCTGCACACCGGCCATCCAGATGCACCGCGGACAGTCCATTCTTGGTGCCTCCCCTCACAGAATGATGTTATTTTGGTAGAACACTTCTGTCTCACCTCCCCCATCTCCCGCATCATCTTGTTCTGTTAATGTATCAGAGCTCCTGTCATGCCAAGTTCATATTTGATTTAAATTCTTTTATAGCAAAAGGTGATCACAGGCCATGTCTTTCTGACTCCTGAGTTGTGTGTTTGGTTCAGTCTCAGTTTTCATGTTTCTTTTTGTGTTCTGTTTCCTCTTTCTCATTTTTTTGTTTTACTGTAGATGTTTTACATAATTGTCCTACAGTTTCTTGAAAATCCTTCCAATGTGAATGCTGAGTGCTCTGACGGACGTTGTTTCCTCTGATCTCAGGGCAGGGATTCTCTGCGTGCTCTTCTCACACCTGGCTGCAGTTTGAGAGTGGAGGATGGGTCTGGCCAGCCATCAGCTTGGGTTCCACGCAGGTTTTGTAAGAATGCCTCAGTGATGTTCTCTTCTGGCGCTTTGTTAACCCTCTGTACCTTCGCCTGACTGACCAGGAGGCGAGATCGCCTACTCGTGGACGACATCTCGGGCCTTCGATTGTCATTGCTGTTTCAAGCACAGCTTTGGCCCCTACACTACGTCAGACTCAGTCAGTGCTAGTGTTCACTTTTTCCTTTTGCTCCAGCACTGACTGAGTCTGATGCAGTGCAGGTGCCAAACTTGTGCTTGAAACGGCAATGATAAGTAATAAAAGTTATTGGTGTAGACCTTGGAGGCACAGATTAATATCTGCATGTGACCTCTAAGACAACAAAAAGATGCTCCCTTATCAACTATGTTGATGTCTGTGAATTGTTTTTATTTCCTCAACCTACAGCTTTGGGAGGTGTCTTTGAGCCTCTGCCAAAGGCGTAGGAACCAGGAGGGGCCAAGACTGTGGGCTGATCACCCCCAGAGCCATGTCTGGCCTGAGCACTTGCAGGGTAGAGGATGGCACACGTGACACTGGTTTTGCCTCATGCTTGTGGGAAGCGGGTTGGCACCACGGAGTGTGACTGGCATCTCTTCATTCTTATTAAGCCAATGCGGGGGTGTTGTCAAGCAGTGTAGCACTTTCCAGGTTGAACGTCACCATTCATGAAGCAGGGTACATGCCTGGTGTGCAAAACTGGAGTGTCCAGGAAGCAGGTGGACACACGGTGTCTACCCTTTAATCAGAAATGTGATTTTCACATAATAGTGCCCCACTGTCAGTAAGTAAGGTATTTCTTGGCAGTTAAGTACAACCTGTTGTACTCTGTTTATGCTAAAACTTCATCAAATGTCAGGATAAGCCCTAAATTCCTTGTCAAAAGATTGCTCCACATGTTAAGCTTTAGGTCTGTAACCCTTCTTCTTTGATGCTTTTAATAGGGTATTGCATTTTGTGATTGATCCAACTAAGCAGCTGCGGAATGGGGGTATTTTGCAGCAGAGATTCTCCTAGGTGCAGCAATTTGGGAAGAAGTTCATGCTGACTTCTCCCAAAGAATGTGACATGATTTTGTATTTTGTAAGTCGGCCAAAGTTAGTGACTTCCTTTGATGCATAACTCAAAGAAGCAAGAAGAAAGCTAAGGTTCTCAAGACGTACTGCACAAAGGATTTGGGTTTCTGGTCCCCATGATCTGAATTTTTGTTTCGCAGTTCAAAGATCCAATTACAAGGTGTGGCATTTTGTTTTCTAACTTGGTCTTGAGGTTTCTTTCATGCGTGACTGTAAACTCCAGCTGCACCCTGACAGGGCTCTGAGGACTTGATCGTGGCTGTTTACAGTGCACCTCTCAGGGGATACTTCTTAATCCTGAAAGACAGCCTAAGGCCCAAATGCCTGACCATGACCAGGTGGCGGCTCACCAGAGACACATTTATACCAACAGACACCTGCGTGGCTCTCGGCCAACCTATGTTCAGTTTAATCCTCCCAAGACAGCCACTCTGTGGGACAGCTCTGGTCAGGAAAGAAGGCAGGGTGAGGTGTGTCAGGCACTGAGACACCGAGGAGACAGCGCAACATGGCACAGGAGATGACAGTGCAGTTTAGGACGTCCAAGCCCAGAGAGGTGGGGGCAGAACACCCCATTGGGCCAACAAGAAGAGCGAACCATCAAGGACATGCATGTTCAACTTCTGAGTGAGGAGCATGAGAGAGAGAGGTGTGTGAGATTCAGACTTGCCTGGGGTGCGGGATGTGACCCTAGCTGATTTCATGCGGGAAGCTCTATTTGGTGGGTTTTAATCGAGCTGTCCTAAGACCCTTGGAGTCTTGCTCGCTGAGTGGTGGCTGCTGCAGTATCTGCATGCGGTCTGTGCAAGTGCGTGGACCAGTCAGATAGGTTCTGCCTGCTCTCCTGTAAGGGGGTGGTCACCAGGAGCTGGTTGCATAAGGTGGAAGTCACATTAAGGCACTGGGATGAGGGACAAAACTAGAAATTGCGTCAAGGGTGACTAAGCCCATTCCTGGTGTGATGAAGTTAAATTTACACTCAAAATGATGTCAAGGCACACAAAATTACAAGAAATCACTGTGTAGGGTTAAAATGTAAATGCTCTGGACAAAGAACCCATTAGAATCCTGGAGTGTTCAAGTGAATGACCATGTAGACAGCTGTCAATCTCAGCACCCTGCATCTACACTTTCTTCTCCTGGGAATGAATCCTGATTTTCCAAAGGGAAGCTAACTTCTGCCCAGTTTGCTGTCTAGACTTCCTGAGGGGACATATGGTCTGATCTTAATTTAAATGCATTCTAAATACAATCAGCATAGCACCACAGCTGGCCACATTCGGTGCTTGGCTCTTGAGGAGCAGAGATGTTCCTACTTGGGTTTATCTGACTACCTGATCCTTCTATGAGGGCTGAATCCAGACCAGCACCGCCAGAGCTGCTAAGAGTAACTTCTCTTCCAGGACCCATAGGAACTGGGAGCAGAGGAATACTTGGAGTGGAGAGGTGGAAATGGGACCAACATAAGAAGTCAGGATGCAAAACATGGAATCTCAAACAAGGGGCTGCAACTGGAGTGTGGGGTAGATTAAACAGGCACCAAAAGAGGGCTTTTGTCCAAGGCTGGCCTTTGTCTTCTTTCACGTGCATTATGTTTAGATAATCACCTTATTTTAAATGCAAACGCCAAGTATCCTTATATTATATACAGGGCACACAGATCATAAAACATCTGTCGATCTGAAATACACGTTCATTGTAAATCTGTCTGCTCTTGTGCTGCCAGGTACTATACCCTTAAACCTCACACCCAACATGACAGGGATGGCAGAACACGAAGGTCTGGGGATCGAAAGTCTCCTGGAAAGCATCTGTACAGCGATATTCCTAGAAAGTATCCCTGAGGCCCCCGCGGGGACTTGTGACTCAGTGAATTAGCTATTTCCAGGCAAAATTCAGGAGGAACTAAAAGCCGTTAATCCTGCTCCTTGCCAGCTCAGGTCTGCTTCCACGTCTGTCAGAAGCAAACCAGGGAGGTAGTAAACTTGCCTTCCTAGGCGGTAAGCAGCAGGCTGCTACTGGCAGAATCCCAGCTCTGCTGAATTCCCTCATGGTTAAATGCTTTTTAATGACCAGAGGCACAAAGGATGTCAGCTATTGAAGAGCCGCTCCTCTTCAGAATGCAGCTGCCAGGGACCGTGAAGTGGCAGCCCCTGAGCAGGTATCCCAGCAACAGCACCAGCCGCGGACTAATTCCAGGCCCGCAGGGCTTGAGGCCCTTTCTCTCCGTTCTCTCCATTCTGACACTTTTTTCCACAGCTCTCTTTACACAGTCCTCCGACGAGGGCCGTATCTCTCTACCCCTTGAGTTCTTTGTGTCCTGCCTCCTCTCCAGAGGACCTTCTCAGAAAGACTTTGATCAGGATTCGCATCCTTGGTGCAAGCACTTCTGTTGTACTGATTGTACAATGGCTCCCGCCTGTGTTCGGTCCTTTGGAACGGTCCGTCTTTCTCTCCTTCTTTTCCAGTGTGCCTTCTTTTCCTCTGGCATTGGGGTGTTCCCTCGTTCTTCCCTGTATCCACCTAATCTTAGCAATGGGGTTTTCTCATTGTTTTCCCTCAGGAAAATAGTTAAGAGTTGAATAGGGAGGTTACCACAAATACCACCCCCTTCCCACCCAGACTCCATCATTACTCTCTCCTTCCTAGCGCAACTGATTTTGTTCAGGTTCCGCCATTTCCACACCAAGTCACGTGGTTCCAGGGACGTTTTCTCCACTCCCACCTAAAAGGGCTCCTAATTAGGGGAGCCCAGCATGGTCCTCTCCTAGTAATCTTTTTCCAGGGATAGGTTTAGAGAAAGACATCTCTTTTGGTGAATAGAGTTTCCATGGCCTTAAGAAACCAGAGGGGAAAGTGAACCCTTTGTTCTAAATGCCACCATTGCTTTGGGATGTGAGGCCTGGACCTGTGGCAGCCATCTTGTGTCCAACAGGCAATAAAAGCCAGCATTGGAGCGGGAGCTCAAGGAACCTGAACTGCCCTGTTGGAGTCCCGCTGTCCTGCTCATGGGACCACATAGACCGCCTCATACATGACGAAACAGGGGATAGAGGTCTTTGCTTAAGAGAGTTTAAAGCAAAATTAGCTTTCAGCCAGAAATATCTCAGCTGATACAAATATCCACTATGCAGAGGGGCAAACTGTAGCTGCACCCCTGCATGACTTAGGCAGCTCAGTTACTTTTTCTGAGCTCCTTATCTTCATCAATAGAATGAAAAAGTCCACATGAATCCAAAAAAGGCTATTGTAATAATTTGTGCATCTTGAGGATGGTGGCCCCTCTTCTTTTATTAGGTTGATAGTTCCTGGTCCCCAGTTCCATACAGTGTCCTACAAGAGCTGTCATGTGTTCACTAATCAGTATAATTTTGAGCTCACAGCTTCCAGACTGGCAGCTCCTTGCAATTACTCTTTCAAGCAGGACTGCCATCCTTCATTCTTCAGCTGTTGCTCAGGGTTGGTGGGGTTGAGACAGATGCCTGGGTAGGAGTGGACTGAAATATCACCCTGGCACCTCTGTGTCAGAGATCTCTGTTATTATTCCTTCAAAATAAGAAAGAGAATGTCTTTTGTGCATTAGCTAAGGAGATTCCTACAGCAAGGTTATCTGGGTGCCTGAAGGAGTGTTTATTGCAGTCACCCCATAAGGAAGTGCTTGTGTTCCCCAGGTGTTTCAGCACCCAGAGCCTTGCCTTCCACATCACACATCTGTAGCTGATGTTACAGGTAACTGTTTACACTCCAGAGGGTAAAACAGTAAGAACAATTTTTCTTGGACGCCTTAACAGCCCCAATTCTAAGCTGACCCAGCTTCTCCTAGCAGACTCTCCCCACACAAGATTTAAAGTCCACGGGTGATGGGAAGGCCACTTCTCTGCTGCTTTTATCACATTTGCTGACAGCCATGGTCTTGGGAGCCCGAGGATTTTCTCAACCGTGATGACAGATGCCTCTGCTGCCACAGTGTCAAAAGTCAGGGATCTAGAACCAACAATAGTGGTGGCATCTCTTGGCCCCTCAGCTGGTGAGTGAGGCAGGGAATTCTGCTTCCAGCCAGGTATTGATTCCTCTACTTTGCCATCTTAGTGTGACGGTGATATCCTGACTGCTAAGTATTATTCAGGACAGCACTGCTGAAATAGCACAGTGCTGGGCCCTCCTGTGTTTCCAAAATTTCTGTGAGCATCTATGTTAAATCACTTCCTGCTTAAAAGAATGTCTGGAATCTGGAACTGAAGCCCCCACTCACACAACCTGTTTCTCCCCAGGATGGAAAAAAACCAACAGAGAGGAGTGGAGGGAGAGCAAATCCAGTTATCAGCTCCACACCAATCCATGAGGAACCAGCATGCTCCTCAGAAGAGTGAGCCACATGGTTATGTTATCTTAGAATACCAGTCCTCTTCTCTCCATACAGAAAGGCCACCCTCCATGGCTTGGTTTTGTTCCCCTAGATCTGGCATCTATTTGTGTGTTAGCTTTCCATCACTAGAATAAAATACTCAAGGTAATCGGCCTGTAAACAGAAGGGTTTTATTTCAGCTCACAGTTTTGGAGGGTCCAGTCCACAACCAGTTGGCCCTTTTGTTCTGGAATACGGTAAGGCAGCTCATTACAGCAGGCACATATGACAGAGCAGAACTTATCACTTTATGGCCAGGAAGTTAAAGAAGAAGAGGTCACACTCTCCTTCAAGGACTCCTCTCCAATGACCTAAGGACTTCTCAGGAGACCCCACTTCCAGAACATTCCACAACTTGGTACCCTGTCATGCCTGTATGATAGGACCAGTCCTAATTTTATTTCCTGGAAGTATCAGGCCAGCCGAGACACTCCACTGTACCTAAGAGATAGAGACGACTTCATTGTCATAACACAGGTGAAAACGATGAGTAAGATGCTGTACCAAGCTCAGTGTTAATGTATATTCTCTGGTTTATTAATTCAGTTTGGAGCAAAGAATTCTAATAGAATGATTTGTGGTGATTTTAAACATTGTCAGGGAAGTATCAACTAGACCTGATTTAACATTATGTATGATTTTGGTTTTTTCTTTTCAAACCTAAACACTAGAAAAAAAAATTACTCCTTGTCATGCAGATATTCTTGTCTCTTAATCACATTTCACAGGACTTCCTCAATGGAGCACATCATACAGTATATCCATCAATTAAACAAATACTTTAGAGTGTTTCAGGCCAGGCCCTGTTTTAGACACTGGGAATGCAATAGTGAAAAAGCAACAAAGGTTGTCGTCCTTACAGAGGTTTCATTCTGTAGGAGCTTACAGACAGTTACCCAATCAAAATACAGTCAGAATATCCTAAGCTCACGCTATGGTCACTTTTCTTTCCCTGTCTTTTCTTTTTAATCTAGCTGTACTCCCCCTTCCTTTCTTCTTCCCTTCTTTCCTTCCTTCTTTCCTTCCTGCCTGCCTGCCTGCCTTCTTTCCTCTCTCCCTTCTTCCAGCAACTGTTTATTGCCAGACCACATTCTTGAAAATATGGATATACAACAGACAGCAACCATAAAAAACAAAAACACAAAAGACATTCCACATCCTTGGAGCAGAAGTTAGACAATAGTAAATTAGAAATCATTTATATTAGATTTCAAATAAATTAGAAATAAAGAATAAAATGAGTGGTGCAATGGACAAAACTGACTGATGTCTAGAGAATGACCAGGGTAAAGGGGGGTTAGGAATTTCACAGGGGGTGGTTAAGGGAGCTGAGGGCTGCAATATCAGAAGAGCTATAGGGAAATGACAGCAAACAGACACTGCCAGAATGAGTTCAAAGACTGCAAGACAAGAATGGCTCCTCGAGAGGAGAGAGGAAGGCTGTGTGGCTGCAGCTGTGTGGACATGGGGAGATTAACTGGAAGGAGATCATAGCGCTCATGGGGAAGGCCATGTGGGAACCGCTGGCACAGTAAGAAATCTAGAGGCGATGTTGTTGACATAAATCAAAAGGACCTCGCTGGCCTGCGCTTGCCCCCTTGCCTTTCAGATCTCACATGGTTCCAGATCCCCACCTCTGAGATGCCATGGTGTTAATTACAGATATAGAGTGAGGATGAAGTCAAGAGAGGCCCGCATAAGAATGTCAACATTTCTTTCTGGTCCAGGTAGAGTATTAAGGACAAACAACTACTACCATTAGCTATCATTCTCATCTCAGTGAAAAGAATATTTTAATACCAGAAAAATAAAATTTAATAGAGACATGATCTTAGAATTTTCTCATAAGATTTTTTTTAAAAAAACGGCAGTATGAAAAACTCATTGTCCTTCACTCTTACTCCACCATTTGCAGTAAAACGAAACTTGTCCTTGGGCCAGTGTTTTGCAAGCCCTTCCCCTTTATGCTTCTGTTTAATCATTCCTTGCAATTGTTTGCCAGTTCCAAATTCTGCAACACCTTCATGTTACTTTTTAAATATATACCTTTAATATACTTATCAAGGGATAGTTACCTACTCATGTTCCAAGCTCAAGAAAATGATTTTTAAAATGGAAAGAACTCTGCACACCTAGATACTTGGATGAAAATGCTTCTAATTTGAATAACGATCTCTTTAGAATGGACTGTGATTTCATATCATTAAGCTTTCTTTAAATGTATATGCTTTTCTGTGAAAAACATCATCTCCTACTTTGCCTTTTGTGACATGACTCCCAACTTTCACCTCTCTGGGATGTAGGAACCTTGGGGACTCTCCCAGGTAGAAGATGTAATCTATCAGTCATTACATGCCAGAAAACATATCTTAACTTCTGTTTAAATGACATTATCATATAGTACTTTTTAAAGTAATATAAAATGGAATATATGAAGTGGTATAAAGTGACATTTGATAAAGTAATTTTCAGG